TTGTTTTCTTTGTGACTATGGTCCCAGCTGCCTTGAGATCATTGACAAGATCCTCCCGTGTAGTTCTGGGCTGATTCCTCACCGTTCTCATGATCATTGCAACTCCACGAGGTGAGATCATGCATGAAGCCCCAGGCCGAGGGAGATTGACAGTTATTTTGTGTTTCTTCCATTTGCGAATAATCGCACCAACTGTTGTCACCTTCTCACCAAGCTGCTTGGCGATGGTCTTGTAGCCCATTCCAGCCTTGTGTAGGTCTACAATCTTGTCCCTGACATCCTTGGAGAGCTCTTTGGTCTTGGCCCTGGTGGAGAGTTTGGAATCTGATAGATTGATTGCTTCTGTGGACAGGTGTCTTTTATACAGGTAACAAGCTGAGATTAGGAGCACTCCCTTTAAGACTGTGCTCCTAATCTCAGCTCGTTACCTGTATAAAAGACACCTGGGAGCCAGAAATCTTTCTGATTGAGAGGGGGTCAAATACTTATTTCCCTCATTAAAATGCAAATCATTTCATAAAATTTTTGACATGCGTTTTTCTGGATTTGTTTGTTGTTATTCTGTCTCTCACTGTTCACATAAACCTACCATTAAAATTATAGACTGATCATTTCTTTGTCAGTGTGCAAACGTACAAAATCATCAGGGGATCAAATACTTTTTTCCCTCACTGTAGATAGTCTCTTCCTGCTCATCAGTGATGTCAGAGCTATAGTTAGTGACTGCGAACGTTCGGCCTGCTGCACGGTCACTATGGAAGCTCTAGAGCACCTGGTTAAACTGGCTTTGAGAGCATTTTTTAAAATTCTCTAAATAGATGCCATTATTGCAATAATTTGTGAGTGGGAAACCTCGACTAACCTGTACCCCCGCACATTGACTTGGTACCGGTACCTCCTGTATATAGCCTCGTTATTGTTATTTTGTCGTGTTACTTTTTTTATTTTATTTTTTTACTTTAGTTTATTTAGTAAATATTTTAACAGGGATGTAAACAAATTTGTGCACACAATCTGAGAGAAATAAGCCTTTTGTGCGTATGTAAAAAAAAAAAAATGTATACTAGTGGTGCGGGGCTAAGCTGAAAACGTGGACTTAATAGTGAACCAAAATATTTACCCCCTTTCTAATTTTCTCTACTTTTGCATATTTGGGATACTAAATGTTAACGGATCTTCAACCAAAACCTAATATTAGATCAAGGTAACCTGAGTGAAAAGATAACACAACAATTACATACTTATTTCATATATTTCATAAACAAAGTTATGCAACACCCAATTCCCCTGTGTGAAAAAGTAATTGCCCCCTTACGCTCAATAACTGGTTGTGCCACCTTTAGCTGCAATGACTGCAACCAAACGCTTCATGTAGTTATTGATCAGTCTCTCACATCGCTGTGGAGGAATTCTGTCCCACTCTTCCATGCAGAACTTTTGTGGGGGTTTTCAAGCATGAACTGCTCGTTTCAAGTTCTACCACAACATCTCAATTGGGATTAGGTCTGGACTTTGACTAGGCCATTCCAAAACATCAAATGTGTTGCTTTTTAGTCATTTTCATATTGACTTCATTGTGTGTTTTGGATTTTTGTTTTGGACGACATGGGACCCATTATGTCTGGCGAAAACCAAACACTGCATACCACAGCAAGAACCTCATACCAATGGTCAAGCATGATGCTGGTAGTGTGATGGTAGTGCATGGCTTTTGCAACGCCAGGATAGTCGGTTCAATTCCCGGGACTAACTTAAAATGGATGCACTCATGACTATAAGTCATAAATCGCTAAATGGCATATATTATATTAATATTATATTATTACTATGAGCCCATCCTCCCCAATTAAGGTGACACCGGCCGCCTGTGGTAAACACTGGTATTGTGCTGGAGATAATGAAAATGAGGTCGAAAAGTGGTGGAATTGCCCTTTAAGAAAAAAAATAAGGTAAAAAGCTACTGAATGAGCCCCAAAACGCGCTACGGTTTATTGATTTTTGATAACAGTCCAGAAATCTTGCCCGGCCTACTATAGTGGATACATTTTTAAACGGTCACAGCAGGAAGGATGCAAACAGGGAGGAGCCTCCGCGACCCCTCTGTGTGCGTGCGTCACTGTGTATGTTCTGCCTCATTATGGTGTTTGTATGCGCTTTGCGATTTAGCGCCACCTGCTCGCTCTTTGTTTTATTACAGCCTGTCAACTGCATTTATTCTATGGTACTTTGTTCTGTGGTGCATTGGGATCAGTTGACCACATTTCCTCAGAGTAACATGTACTCCAGGTTATCTCTTGCCATCCTTGTTGTGTCTGCCTGCGAAAGCATTGTCCGTAAGTATAACACATTGTCTGTATGTTCATCTTGCTATATCAGAAGTTATTTTTTTACAGATGATGATGTCATTTGGGTTCAATGTCAGTTGTTTGCATTGATAGCCCTGCTAGCCTGCCTGGTCATTGCTGTTTAGCAGCTTGCCTAATAAATCACACTGTGATACCAATTATTGGGATACAGTCTGAAACAAAGCACTGCAAAAAACGTGGAAAGTTCCCTTACAAGCCAGAATGTTGAATATAATGACATTTGAACTTACTCTAACGGGGTTGTCTGTGCAATTGGGCCTTCAGTGGGTTGAAATTTGAAACAAAATATCCACAGGAAAGTATTATTTACCCGCCGGGACTGGAGTTAACATTTCTATCACCTGACACATGCGCAAAACCACGTAAACGCCTGCAAGACTGCAGTTAGTATGCATCACCTGTGTGTACCATCCTCTTGTGCAGGTGCCTTTGGTCATGAGCAAACAAATCTTGATTGCCACACACAGAGACCTGTGTTTTGACGTCAGTTTAATTATACTTTCCTCTGGATAGTCTGTCTCAAATTTCAACCCACTGAAGGACGAACCCCACGAACAATCGGCAGAATAAGTTAAAATATAATGTTAGACAACATTCGTGACAGAGGAGGGACATTTGTTTTTTTTCTATGTAATTGTGCGTGGCTATGCTGTAACATTCCACAGCGGGACTATGTAGCGGACAGTGTCACTTGCTATATGTGATCTCTTCATGCCTTATGCTAGCATACGGGACTATTTGGGCAGTGTTTGAATTTAGAACCTTGTTCATTTCAATATGCTTATTGGATACAGCTTTTACCTGAGCATTCTATTGTACATTATGTTGCACCATGGGTAATGTCTGAGCTGAACATTCATTGCATTTATTCAGTATTCTCTGAAGTTTCACACCGATTCATTAAATACTGGAGGTTTGGAGAAAGGTTAATCCTGACTCTTGACATGTTTTTTTTTTAATGGAGTTTGGTTGTCTGTCTAATTACGGTTGAACACAGCCTATGGAGGACAGTACAGTGTGTGTGGGGTCATCATTTTGTGGCATTTCAAAACAAATTTGCCACAGAAGGCTGATCCTTGATATCTGGGATCCTTGGGACGTCCCTACCCCATTGAAGTTCACATTTAAAAGGGTTAGTTTAGGGTAGGGACGTCCCTTGGATTCGACATAGCACTAACTGTTTACACAGGCAGCCCAATTCTGATATTTTGTTATACTAATTGCTCTTTTGACAAATCACAGCAGATCTTTTCACATCAGATTTTCTTCAGCGCTAATCTGATTGGTCAAAAGACCAATTAGTGAGAAAAAAAGATCAGCCTGTGTAGACGCAGCCAATGAGAAAACAGCCTAAAAGGGTAAATATTTACTCCAAGTCTGATTTGGAGCCCACCCACCATTTAATTCACATTTAAAACTACTTATCTGTGTTCAATTTGAATTTATCAACATTAGCATATTTAGTAGAGAAAAGGAAAGAGAAAGAAATGTTTTTTTTTTTTTGCCCAAAGCTTGATGATGAGTTGGTTATTTTAATCAGCTGTGTAGTGCTAGGGCAAAAACCTAAATGTGCACCAAGATGGGGCCCCAGGACAGAGTTTGGGAAACGCTGTTCTATTGTAATCCTTTCATTACACTACAGGAAACCAAAGCACAGTTCATGGTTTCCCTCCTGGTTATTTCCTAGAAGGGGATCAACAAGGATTAGACGTAGATTATGCCAAACATTCATTACAAATAAACCATGAATTGCGCTCAGGAGCCAAATGTTCATTCAACCAAGTCAAATATTTAATTCAGTTCCATTCACTGAGATGTGCATATACTTCCTGTATTATCTTGAGGATTATGACAATGTGATCCATCTTCAATTTATTCTGTTCCTGGAGCGCTACCATCCTGAAGGTTTTTGCTCCAACCCTAATCTAGCACACCTGATTCTAATAATTAGCAGGTTGCTAAGATGAATCAGGTTAGTAACACCTGGGGTTGGAGCGAAAACCTACAGGAGGGTAGCTCTCCAGGAACAGGGTTGGGCAACCCTGTTCTAGATTATGTAATATACATTTAGAGTGCTTAAAGGAGAAGTTAGTTTTTTCACAGCCAAATCTCTATTATTGATGTAAATGGTATGTTTCATAGAAGGGTCCGGACACTTTTTGTTTGTTTGTTGATTTCACTTGTTTTTGAAAAACTTACCCCAACCAGCGATTTCACTTCCTCATTGTGCGGTACGGGGGCTCTGAAAAAACATGAACAAATGATCCATAAACACCTTGATATGTCCTTTTTAGAAATGCTCTCATATAGTGATGCAGGTCTTTTAGATGTTGTACACATGAAATTGTCATTCTGAACTTTATCTGCAACATTATATTCCATTTTGTGCGACTCAAGCCGTTTCCCCTATCCAGCTGTTCCATTCTCTGTGTAGCCTGCTGCTAGAATGGACGAAGAGGTATTGCTCAAGTCGCTTGAAAACAAGTGAAATCGCAAAGAAAAGTGTCTGGACACTTCTATAACATGCCATTTACATCAAACATTGACATTTGGTTGTAAAAAAAACACAATTCTCCTTCAAGATGCCAGTGTGATGAATAAACAGTCTGGTTTATGGTTTTTTCTCCCTTTTTAGATGCTGTCTGCACCACGGCGGACTGCACTCAGTCAGGTAAATACACTAACACACACACACACACACACACACACACACACACAGGTAGAATATGAGCTGTATTTGTCTGTCTGCAGCATCTCGTCTGATAGAGAACATGGATGCCAATGTGGACCCGTGTGACAACTTCTACCAGTACGCCTGTGGAGGCTGGTTGAAGAAGAACATCATCCCAGAGACAAGCTCCCGGTACAGCACCTTCGACATCCTACGAGATGAACTGGAGGTGGTCCTCAAAGGTTAGAGACACACACACACACAGACTCATAATATTTTGCTAGGAAGCTGAATGTGTGTCCAGGTCAGAGAAGTTTTGTAGCGTGGCGTGGTTTGAATTCAGTGAGTTTGCCAGGGAGGTGTGAGTGAGTGAGGGCTAGTTTTGGATCTGTTGGCCAGGGAGGTGTGAGAGGGGGGCTAGTTTTGGATCTGTTGGCCAGGGAGGTGTGAGAGGGGGCTAGTTTTGGATCTGTTGGCCAGGGAGGTGTGAGAGGGGGCTAGTTTTGGATCTGTTGGCCAGGGAGGTATGAGAGGGGGCTAGTTTTGGATCTGTTGGCCAGGGAGGTGTGAGAGGGGGCTAGTTTTGGATCTGTTGGCCAGGGAGGTGGAAGTGAGGCTAGGTTTGGTGTTGTTGGAGGATTTACTGGGGTTAAAGCAGCTTGTCCTTCAGGGAAAGATAGGGGCTCTAGGAATAGTCACCGGTGTTAATGGGGGCATCTATCTGCAGCGTTTACTGTGAATGCAGTCTCAGCCAACGCAGTAACATTTCTTTTAAAAGGTGCGTAGAGGACAACGCGCCATCTGATGAAATCCTGGCCTTAGAATAGTCGGAGGCCTTTAACACCATCTCGTAAGCTCCATCTTGACAGTGGATTTACAGGAAGGCACCCTTACACCTGGAGGGGTGGGTGGAGGTGGGGGGCTGGGAGGTCTGTCTATGTCCCTGCATGTGTGTCAAATCGAATCAAATTTTATTTGTCACATGCGCCGAATACAATAGCTGTAGACCTTACCGTGAAATTCTTACTTACAAGCCCTTAACCAACAATGCAGAATTTTTTTTTTAAAGTAAGAAAATATTTGCAAAAAAAATAATAATACAAATTAAATAAACTAAAGTAAGAAAATAAGAATCACAATAACGAGGCTATATACAGGGGGCAGGTAGCCTAGTGGTTAAGAGCGTTCGGTCAGTAACCTAAAGGTTGTTGGTTCGAATCCCGAGCCGGAAAATCTGTTGATGTGCCCTTCAGCAAGACACGTAACCCTAATTGCTCCTCTAAGTCGCCCTGGATAAGATCCTCTACTAAATGACTAAAATGTAAAAATGTGCGGAGGTACAGGTTAGTTGAGGTATTATGTACATGTAGGTAGGGATAAAGTGACAATGCTTAGATGATAAACAGCAAGTAGCACCAGCGTAAAAAAGTGGGTCGACGCAAATAGTCTGGGTAGCCATTTGATTAATTGTTTAGCAGTCTAATGGCTCGGGGATAGAAGCTGTTAAGGAGCCTTTTGGACCTTGACTTGGCATGCCGGTACCGCTTGCCGTGAGGTAGCAGAGAGAACTGTCTATGACTAGGGTGGCTGGAGTCCTTGACAATTTTTAGGGCCTTCCTCTGACACAGCCTGGTATAGAGGTCCTGGATGACAGGACGCTTGGCCCCAGTAATGTACTGGGCCGTACGCACTACCCTCTGTAGTGCCTTGTGGTCAGAGGCAGAGCAGTTGCCATACCAAGCGGTGATGCAACCAGTCAGGATGCTTTCAGTGGTGCAGCTGTATAACTTTTTGAGGATCTGAGGACCCATGCCAATCTTTTCAGTCTCCTGAGGGGGAATAGGTGTTATCGTGCCTTCTTCTTGACTGTCTTGGTGTGTTTGGAACAATAATAGTTTGTTGGTGATGTGGACACCAAGGAACTTGAAGCTCTCGACCCGCTCCACTACAGCCCCGTCGATGTGAATGGGGGCGTGCTCTGACCCCTTTTCCTGTAGTCCACGATCAGCTCTTTTGTCTTGCTCACGTTGAGGGAGAGGTTGTTGTCCTGGCACCACACTGCCAGGTCTCTGACCCTCCCTGTAGGCTGTGTCATCATTGTCGGTGATCAGGCCTACCACCGTTGTGTCGTCGGCAAACTTAATGATGGTGTTGGAGTCGTGTGTGGCCACGCAGTCGTGAGTGAACAGGGAGTACAGGTTGGGACTAGGCACGCATCTCTGAGGGGCCCCCTTTGTTGAGGATCAGCGTGGCAGATGTGTTGTTGCCTACCCTTACCACCTGGGGGCAGCCCGTCAGGAAGTCCAGGATCCAGTTGCAGAGGGAGGTGTTGTAGTCCCAGGGACCTTAGCTTAGTGATGAGCTTTGAGGGCACTATGGTGTTGAACGCTGAGCTGTAGTCACCGAACAGCATTCTCACATAGGTGTTCCTTTTGTCCAGGTGGTAAAGGGCAGTGTGGAGTGCGATGGAGATTGCTTCCCAGCCAAAACAGTTTGGAAGAGTTCGTGCATAGTATTATTATATACAGTATTATTCATTTTGGACTTCGGTGAGGGTTCTTTCGGCTGTTCGCGTGCACCACACATTTCTCTAATAGCCGGTTCATTTTGGTCCAGTGGTCTTCAAAGTCTTGTGTATTCCGAGAGACGACTCTTTTCATGCCATTTTTCATTGAGAAATTCGTGCACCAAATTATGTTAAGATCTGTCTCTCCTCTTCTTCTCATCGCGTCCTCTTTTGGTCCCTGCTTCCTCATGCTTCTTCCTCTCCACTGCTTCTCCACTTCTTCTCCACTTCTTCTCCACTTCTTCTCCACTGTTCTCTCCCTTCTCTCCTCTCCTCCTCTCGCTTCTTCCTCTGTCTTCTTCACTGCTTCTCCACTGTTTCTCCACTGCTTCTTCACTGTTTCTCTCACTGCTTCTCCTCCGCCTTTCCTCCTCTCTTTCTATCTCTTCAAGTCTCAAGTATCTGTGGTTAACTTGTATGGCTTTTTAAAGCGTACTGTAAATCAGCGGTAGAGTACTCTTGGGGGGTCCAAATTTGTCTGAGTGAATAGGCATGATTGTCCACTGCCAAAGCCTGATTAAATTGGTGTCTGTGAGTGTTTGATTCTCAGGTTTATGTCTCTGATTTGAATTACAGTAATCAGTCTCCACACTTTCTCTATCACACGTCATTATCACCAGAACAATGCTGTCCCAAAAAAATCCCACCCTGTTAACAGACGGGTATGTGTCATCGAATAACAGTTAAGGTTAAGACAAAATTCACAGGAACGTAACCTGTATGAAAAGGTAAGAGGTGCAAAATAAGGTTGTGTTAGTTTGTCCTTCCTGTCCTGATGGTCTAATCTTCTGCTGTGGCACACTGAATCCACGTGGTGTTTTTCAGGCCGGATCAAATTGAGTGATGAAACGCGCTTTGTGCCAAAGGAAGAATATTGCGTTTCATATCCTGACTGACAGAGATGTGTGTGCTGCCATGTCTGTGGGGGTTTTTCTGGTTTCTATCACATCCTGTAGTAACTAGTCAGTCAGGCTCCATGGTAACTAGTCAGTCAGGCTCCATGGTAACTAGTCAGTCAGGCTCCATGGTAACTAGTCAGTCAGGCTCCATGGTAACTAGTCAGTCAGGCTCCATGGTAACTAGTCAGTCAGGCTCCATGGTAACTAGTCAGTCAGGCTCCATGGTAACTAGTCAGTCAGGCTCCATGGTCCTGAGGTCAAGTGTCCTGCCTGGTCAACATATCCTGTATCTTTTAACAGCTGCCTGCAGGGAGCTGCGCTGGCCACACCTGGACAGCCACTCACATCCGGTGTTAACAGCAGTAAATAACCTGTACTGTATCTGTATGTGTGTAGGCCTAAGTGTGTGCGTGGGTTTGCGGCCCCTCATAAATGCCTCACATTGTTCTCCACTGCAATAAAAAGTCCTAAAGGCGCCCACGTACTAGGTTCGGTCCGCTTGGCTATGGCGACGCGAACGTCTGTGCCTCGCATACTCCCTTAAAAGACCTTCGCTTAAATAAAAGGAGTGGCAATATTACCGTTTGTCCCTCCTTGAGACACCGTAGTAACAACATAGCCAGTATACACTTCCTCAAAATAGTGTGAATTAATCTAAAGATAAATAATAATTTAGACGTTTCTGCTGAGGAGGTCTTAGTCGTGCAATTTTACATCTAACTAAGATGTTTGGTCCAGTATTTCTCAAGATAAAGAATGTGCATGAAAACTACTCATCTCTCATTTAATGACAACAAGTTCCCAAAGGGAACTCGGTTTGGTCTGCACTGTGACCCGAATTAATACACTAGGCCTATAGGCTAAGCCTACGCTGCATTGCACGCCTCTTGAGTAAATCTGAGCTGAAAAAAACATTTCCGTTAAAACTAGAGCCTTCATCTTAATTTTAAAACAATTGTGTGCTTGAACAGCTGAAAAAACTAATGCCGAACACCAAAACTAACAAAAAGTACAACATCTTGTCATAATATATGCGCAAACTGTTTTGATGGGGTTAATGAGGCACTGCTCTTGGCTCTTAACCACAGCTGTGTGTGGGAGGGACAGTTTTCCACCTCTCTCTTTGTTTCAGGTATGGCATACTCTGCAATAATTTGCCCAATTGACTGTGAGCTTTTTAATTATACCTTGTTTGTGCCGAAGGGAAGAGGGGGGGAAATGGGAAGGAGGGAGAGAGGCTGGTGCAAGTCCAAAAGAGAGAAATGTAGAAAGATGTGGATCAACTTAGAGAAAGGGAGAGGGATGGAGGTGAGGAAATGGGAGGTGACGTGGTTGTGATCTCTGTGGGAAGGTCTAAGTGATACTGCACTGTATGACTGCTGTGACAGACATTAAAGGGAAACAGATCTACTCACTGCTTATGGGACATCTGGGAAAGACAGACATTACATTGAGACACTGTGTCGACAGACAGACAGACAGACAGACAGCTGTGACATCACAAGGTTCAGCGGGGTCTGTCAATCAGACGGCAGTGGCATCAGAGGGTCACACAATGGCCGTGTTCGAGAGCATCAAATCCATGATGCATTGGTGACTGACTGATCTACACATACTGAGTAGGTATTCATGATGCTAGGTGATTTGTAAGTCAGTCGCCTGCACTGTCGGCTGCCATGTCAAATAAGCCCAATGTCTGTCAGTGACATCACAAAGGCTCAGACAAAATGTCTGTCAGACAGACAGCTGTGACATCAGAGGGTTAGACAGAGGGCGCGTTCTAGCGGATCACTTCTGTCAAGTGGTCACCGCCTTTCAAAGTGTGTTGCATCATGGTTATAAAAAATGGTCCGACTTGCGCCTACATGTCGACTGCATGAACTTTACAAAAATAATGTGATCAAAGGTCATGCAGTTTTTGACCTGCATTGTGGGAGGCACTATTTGTCGCTAGCACAGACTGGAATATGTTCCAGGATTCATCTGATGGCATTAAGGAGTATACCACATCAGTCACCGGCTTCATTAAGTGCATTGATGACGTCGTCCCCACAGTGACCGTAAGTACATATCCCAACCAGAAGCCATGGATTACAGGCAACATCTGCACTGAGCTAATGGCTAGAGTTGCCTCTTTGAAGGAGCGGGACACCAATCCGGACGCTTATAAGAAATCCTGCTGCACCCTCAGACGAACCATCAAACAGGCAAAGCGTCAATAAAGGACTAAGATTAAATCCTACATCACCGGCTCTGACCCTTGTCGGGTCACAAAGGGAAACCCAGTCACGAGCTGCCCAGTGACACGAGCCTACCACACGAGCTAAATGCCTTCTATGCTCGCGTCGAGGCAAGCAACACTGAACCATGCATGAGAGCACCAGCTGTTCGGGATGACTGTGTGATCACTCTCTCCTTAGCCAATGTGAGTAAGACCTTTTTAAACAGGATAACATTCACAGACTGATTACCAGGACGCATAGCATGCACTGACCAGCTGGCAAGTGTCTACACTGACATTTTCAACCCCTCCCTGACCCAGTCTGTAAAACCTACATGTTTCAAGCCGACCACCATAGTCCCTGTGTCCAAAAACACCAAGGTAACCTGCCTAAATGACTTCCGCCCTGTAGCACTCACATCTGTAGCTGTGAAATGCTTTGAAAGTCTGGTCATGGCTCACATCAACACCATAATCCCAGAAACCCTGGACCCACTCCAATTCGCATAATGCCCCAACAGATCCACAGATCATGCAATCTCTATTGCACTCCACACTGCCCTTCCCCACCTGGACCAAAGGAACACCTACGTGAGAATGCTGTTTGGTGACTACAGCTCAGCATTCAACACCATAGGGCCCTCCAAAGCTCATCAATAAGCTAAAGGACCCTGGGACTAAACACCTCCCTCTGCAACTGGATCCTGGACTTCCTGACGGGCCGCCCCCAGGTGGTGAGGGTAGGCAACAACACATCCGCCATGCTGACCCGCAACATGGGGGGCCCCTCGGGTTCATGCTTAATGTCCTCCTGTACTCCTTGTTCACCCACGACTACGTGGCCAAACACGACTCCAACACCATCATTAAGTTTGCCGATGACACGACGACGGTAGGCCTGATCACCGACGATGATGAGACAGCCTATAGGGAGGAGGTCAGAGACCTGGCAGTGTGGTGCCAGGACAACATCTTCTCCCTCAACGTGAGCAAAACAAAGGAGCTGATTGTGGACTACAGGAAAAGGATGGCTGAGTACACCCCCATTCACATTGACAGGGCTGTAGTGGAGCGGGTCGAGAGCTTCAAGTTCCTTGGTGTCCACATCATGGTCCAAACACACACAGTCGTGAAGAGAGCATGACGCCTCAGGAGGCTGAAAAGATTTGTACAGCTGCACCATCGAGAGCATCCTGACTGGTTGCATCACCGCTTGGTATTTTTATTTTTATTTATTATAATTCTTTGCGCTGACTCTCTTGCACAGGCTCGATGTACACTCACTGGACCCTAACCACACACCCACGCATACTATACTGACACTCCAACACACACACACACGGACACACACTTGGGCTTCCTTTAGGCTTACCTCTCAAACACACCCAGAATGTTTTTCAGTCAGACATCTTATGACATCACAAAGGATGTGAGAGAATGGGCGCGTTCCTCTGCCCAGGCATTGATGACCCATGCCAGATCTTACAATGCCTGGATAGGTGTTTTACGTGCAGCTAACCACATATGTTTATAGCAATCCGTCAGTCGATGACACAGTCGTTGGTGTGGCACGCAACCATTGGTTGATGCATACAACGTCTAAGCAGGGGAAAGCGACCAATAGATGCAGTAAAGAGGTCAATGGAACGCAGGATAGAAGGATGCCGGATTGGAGCACATTCAACAAACCTGATCTAACAAAGTGGATATTCGTAAAGTCTGTCATGATTTGATTGTATAGTTACAGACCCACTATGTTGTTACTAAAGTCCGATTTGGATATATATGGCTGTTTTCGCTGCATAACATTAAGAAGTTGTCCCTTTTTTTCAGGTTTAGAAGTGACTGCTAAATGCTAACTCCCCATTCGTATAAGCTGCTAGCGTACAGAAATCGGTGGTGGTGGTCAGTTGTTTTTAACTGTAATGCAGTAGATTGGTGACTGACACATGTATTGGGTTTGACATCCATACAAGCATTATACTCCGATTTTAACCACCACATGGTGTGAAATACACATTTTAAAACAATAGCATACATGCTGGGGGGCAATGAAGAGACTCGGGATCTTTGCCGCACAGGATCTTTTCCCACGCGTTTCCATGGCACTTCAATCAAAGCCAACCAAAACAATTTGATCTCTTTACCGCGTGTTTGTCTGTCAGGCATCTTATGACATTACAAAGGGGTTAGAAAGAATGTCTCTAAGTCAGACATGACATCATAGAGGGTCAAACAGCACTAAGTCAGAAGTCAAGTCAGACGGATCTGTGCTCCGTGTTCAGCTTGTCGGCAATACTGCAGTTGTTCCCAGTGTTCTGTACCCTAGTTGAGTCCGTGTGGTGGATGTGAGGGCATAGACTCTGCATGGTCGTACCCTGTTGTCGTGTGGGATGTGGGGTAGACTCTGCAGTGTCTGTACCCTAGTGATCCGTGTGGTGGATGTGAGGGCATAGACTCTGCAGTGTCTGTACCCTAGTTGAGTCCGTGTGGTGGATGTGAGGGCATAGACTCTGCAGTGGTCTGTACCCTAGTTGAGTCCGTGTGGTGGATGTGAGGGCATAGACTCTGCAGTGGTCTGTACCCTAGTTGAGTCCGTGTGGTGGATGTGAGGGCATAGACTCTGCAGTGGTCTGTGTTGAATAATGTACAGCTCTAATATTACAGTATATTGCCTGGGTCTGACGGACATTTACATGGAGGATTGGGCTGGGGGAACACACTTCCTTTTGTTTCCTTTTTTTTTTTTATCAGGAGGGGGGCCTGATTTTGGGGCCAATGGGTCACTTTTTTAAATTTGTGTCCTACAGCATCAGTGGCCCTTTAACCAAACCCCCCATATTGAAACCCAAACACAAAAACCCCCTTTTAAACCCCCATGGGTTTCCTCCCAGACCTTAAAAGATTCCAACAAAACTTTTCAATTAGGGAATTTAAACTTTGCCCACAAAGGTGGGGAAAAAGAAAGAGAAGACCCCAAAAAAGAGGGGAAGAAAAAAAAGGGGTTCGCTCTCCCGGCTCCCTCCCCCTCCCCCCCTCTCTCTCGCTCTCTCTCCTCTCCCCTATCTTCCTCTCTCCCTCTCTCGCCCTCTTTTCCCCTTCTCCTCTTCCTCCTCTCCCTCCTCCCCCTCCCTCCCTCCCCTCTCTCCCCCTCTCCCTCCCCCGCTCTCCCTCCTCCCCTTCTTCTCTCCTCTCTCTCCCCTCCTCCTCCTCCCCCTCTCCCTCGCGCCTCTCCTCCTCGCTCCCCCTCTCTCCCCCTCTCTCTCTCTCCCTCCCCCTTCTCTTCTCCTCTGCTCTCTCGTCCTCTTCTCCTCCCTTTTGGGCCCCCCTTCTCCTCGTTTCTTCTCTCATCGCTCTCTCGCTCTCTCGTACTCTCTGCTCTCTCTTCGGCTCTCGTCTCTTCGGCCTACTGTAGAGAATCTCGCAGATTCCCCCTCTGGCAATGGGGGCCTTCTTCTTCCTACTGTGGTCCTCTGTAGCTCAGCTGGTAGAGCACGGCGCTTGTAACGCCAGGGTAGTGGGTTCGATCCCACCGATACACAAAAAAATGTATGCACACATGACTGTAAGTCGCTTTGGATAAAAAAGCGTCTGCTAAATGGCATTTATTATTATTACCGCTACTAGTGCATGTGGGAATGACCTCAGATTTAAAGCGTTGTTTTTACCCTGCTTTTTCTGTGATGTTTCTCAATGTTTTCTATGTGGTGAAAAGCAGTGGTGCCAGCAGACATACGTCTCCATGGCCTGGGGTCTGGCTGGCTTCTGTCTGGTCTGGAGAGACCTGTTACGGTCTCTCTGAGGGGGACATTCTCTGTCCTCCAAACACAGCTCACATGCTCCATGTTACTCACAACACTCGCAGCTGAACTGATCTTTCGTCCCCCCCCCCCCATTGTAGATGTTCTGGAGAGAACCGTGGAGGGGGAGGCCAGTGCCCTCACTAAAGCCAAGACCCTCTACAGATCCTGCACCAATGAGAGTGAGTCTGCTGGTCTGTTTTGTTGGGGTTCAATTACATTTAAATTCAGTCAGTCATTTCAGTCCAATTAGTTGTCTACCTTTTAAGCTGTGAGTTAACCTTGGTCACTTCGTGTGTGTTTTTTTCCCCCCTCTGAAGGTCAGATTGAGAAAAGGGGCGGAGCTCCTCTACTAGACATGCTCCCTAATGTATTTGAGTGGCCAATAGCTACAGACAACTGGGAGACTGACTATGGTAAACTACATTATACACTTCTACCACTGTTTCCTACACCCATTTTTTGTTTACCTATCCACAACCCAATCCAATTCAATCCTCCTCTGTCCTCTCCTCTTCTCCTACATAGGTAACACATGGAAGTTGGAGGATGCCATTGCCAGACTAAATGAGAAATACGGAACTCATGTCTTGGTTAATTTTTTTATCGGCACTGATGACAAAGACTCCATTCACCATCAGTTCATGAGGTGTGCCTATATAGTGGTCACATGCCAATGGAGACAGCTAACCCATCACAGATAGGTGTCACGACGCATTGTGAGCAGTTCACCATACATGATAGTTACAGAGCACTGCAGCAGATATCCCATCACATATAGTTACAGCGACTGGAGACAGCTTATCCCCATTCACTGATTTTTCACACTGGAGAAGCTATATAGCAAAGGCTGTAGTTACACCACATGAGACAGCTCCTAGCCTTATCACATATAGTTACAGACAACGAGACAAGCTATGCCCATACATATACACCTGACACTGTCCTAACCCATTTCTTCATGATAGTTAAACCAACAATTAACACAGCTATACCCCTCCAGTTGTTACAGAAACATGGAACAGTGATCCATCACATGCAGTTACAAATGGAGACAGCTATACACCCATTCCATGGATAGTTTACAGGACACATGGACAAGCTTACCCATCACATATATTCAGTAGCACTGGACAAGCTATACCCCATCACATGATAGTTACAGACACATGGAGACAGCTATACCCCATCACATGATAGTTACAGACACATGGAGACAGCTATACCCCATCACATGATAGTTACAGACACATGGACACAGCTATACCCCATCACATGATAGTTACAGACACATGGACACAGCTATACCCCATCACATGATAGTTACAGACACATGCTCTTTTAATAATTTGTTACTTTTATTATGTATTATTTTATTGTATTCTATATTGTGTTTTTTGTTGGTATTTTGGTATTCTTTCTTAAAACTGCATTGTTGGTTAAGGGCTTGTAAGTAAGCATTTCACCTGTTGTATTCGGCACACGTGACAAATAAAATTTAGATTTTATGATAATTACAGACACATGAACACACCTATACCCCTTCACATGCACCCTTTAACCCTCTCTCGGGTAGGGATTTAGTGTACCTATTTGCTCAATAAACTACTGTAACTCTATTGTATACCTTAAATCGTAACCTTTGCAGTGTTAAGTATTCACACACTGAACTCTCTGAACCTCCTACAGCATCGATACATGCTCTGACTCGTGACACACATCCATCTACATGTACTTACCAAACCTTATTACATGTCCACGAATGAGCCACTGTATTCCTTAAGTGTCCTGTTCAGTTTTCCAGTCATCACAACTATCAAACGATGCAGGTTTCTGACCCATGAATGTTATGGATAGGCTTTATGGTCCAGGCGTTTATGGTTCAGTGAGTGTATTGGCTTTCTCGTGCTGTTGAATGAATGGCTGCTTGTGACCTGATATTTTTTTTTTTTTTCTCCTGCCAGTTTGACCAGCAAACCAGTCTTGGCCTCTTATCCAGAGATTACTATACCTGCACTGGGCCTTATGCAGAGGTAGGCCTTTGCCCGCTAATTACGCACACACATGCACACCCACATACATCGACGATATCGACACTATTTCTCTGTCTGGAGCTGTAGGAGGAAATTAGTTATCTGGCCGGGTATGTCGGGTTCTGGGTTTCCTGTTGTTCTGTTCGCTGGTCCATCCATCCAGAACACATAACAACCACAACAGCATAGACTCCAAGCCCTCTGCATCAGTTTAGCATAAGATCAACATCCTCTCTAGATCATTATGCTGGCACCGGATCCAAACCTCCAGTGTGGGTTAATGAACTTCAGGACTAGATGTGAAGAAGTCTAAAGCTGTGAGGTTTGAACCTGAGGATATTAGTTTAGTTTAATGATTGAACTAATCATCAGCATAGACATGCTCTAATGGGTTCTGAACCTCCTGCCTTAGTGTGTGTTACACAGACCTCCAGATAAACCTGTTTGCCTGAGGAGGTCTACGTTATGGAAAAACAATCAACCCCAGTATATCCCGTGTTTCAACGTATTTTACTGTTATTCATGTCAATGTGACTAGCTGGGGTGTGAGTGGATGGATGTGTGTGTATGTTAGTTTGTGGGTGTTTATTGTGTGTGTGTGTGTGTGTCTCTCTCTGTGTGAGAGAGACCCTCTTGAGCAATGTGATCATTCAAATCATAGAAGTGAGATGGGACAGATTTGGTCACAACCCAACCCAAACCAGATGTGTTTGAGGTGGACATTCTCCCGTATGGTTTCACTTTACTAAGTACCACCACTGATTGCTATTCTGTACTTGCCAAGCTTGGCCTGGAGGGGATAGGTGTGTGTGTTTGGTGCTTTGAGGTTCATTTTGGATTAGAGTGAATCTCCTATGGTGTTCTCTTCCTGTCTCTTAATACCAAACAGAAGATCATAGAGCCTAATTTATATTTACAGTGATGTGAAAACAGTACATCTCATTCTCCCTCAGCCACCCAACTACTTATGACTGCTTTTTTCTGTTGATACTACAATACATGTTTTTAATGTGTCTGTGTGTGTGTGTGTCCTCCCAGCCATGTAGAGCATATGAACAGTTCATGATAGATGTAGCCAAGCTGATCCGTACCGACCGCAGCCTGGTGGTCAACGAGACCCAGATCAGAGAGGAGGTCACCAGGGTTATTGAGCTGGAGAAGGAGATTGCCAACGTAAGTTCAACACTTCTACTCTAGGAACACCTGCTTTACTAGTGATCTGCTTTAGTTTAGTAACAAATTACTGGAAAGATGAGTGAAAGATAGTGATCATATAGATGTTTATGAAGCCAGACTTCAGCCCTTACCACCTCTCCATCACTGTGTTTATGAAGCCAGACTTCAGCCCTTACCACCTCTCCATCACTGTGTTTATGAAGCCAGACTTCAGCCCTTACCACCTCTCCATCACTGTGTTTATGAAGCCAGACTTCAGCCCTTACCACCTCTCCATCACTGTGTTTATGAAGCCAGACTTCAGCCCTTACCACCTCTCCATCACTGTGTTTATGAAGCCAGACTTCAGCCCTTACCACCTCTCCATCACTGTGTTTATGAAGCCAGACTTCAGCCCTTACCACCTCTCCATCACTGTGTTTATGAAGCCAGACTTCAGCCCTTACCACCTCTCCATCACTGTGTTTATGAAGCCAGACTTCAGCCCTTACCACCTCTCCATCACTGTGTTTATGAAGCCAGACTTCAGCCCTTACCACCTCTCCATCACTGTGTTTATGAAGCCAGACTTCAGCCCTTACCACCTCTCCATCACTGTGTTTATGAAGCCAGACTTCAGCCCTTACCACCTCTCCATCACTGTGTTTATGAAGCCAGACTTCAGCCCTTACCACCTCTCCATCACTGTGTTTATGAAGCCAGACTTCAGCCCTTACCACCTCTCCATCACTGTGTTGCTCTGGTTCTTACCAGTTGGTGTGTTAACCAAGCGGCGCTGGTTCTTACCAGTTGGTGTGTTAACCAATCGGCGCTGGTTCCTACCAGTTGGTGTGTTAACCAAGCGGCGCTGGTTCCTACCAGTTGGTGTGTTAACCAAGCCCTGAGCCCATGCGCTCTTTCTAAACAGATTTGTAACAGGTCAATAGGTCCCATTGCTCAGTGCTACAACTGCTGCCTTTTACAATACACCCAGGCTGTTCTGGTACTGAAATGTACAGTCTTAGGACCCCTGGGCCTCCAAAAAGACTGTTTGTTGCTGTTGGAGGTGTGCCTGGACATACACTGCAGTGTGTGTGTGTGTGTGTGTGTGTTTATTGACAGACAGGCATTTATGATGTGGCCAGCAGTGCCTGTTTTTGACTATTGTGCTCAGTGACAGCCAGAGGGCAGATCGTCAAACAAAACGTATAGAAATGATATACAAAGTTATCATTATTTGATATACATACAGTTATATCAAATAAATATACATACAGTTATACCCCCCCCCCCCCCCCCCCCCCCCCCCCCCTCCAGGCCACTGATACTCCAGAGGACCGTAACAACCCAGTTCTCCTCTACAACAACATGGAGCTGGGTGTTCTCAATGCTAACTTCAGCCTGGAGGTGGACACAAAAGTAAGCGACTCTGTGTGTGTGTGCATGCTGTGCGTGTGTTGTCTGCTCTGTTAACTATGTCTGATGATAAACCCCTCCTCTCAGGTTTTTGACTGGAGTTACTTCACCAGGAAGATCATGGGGACGGTCGGCGTCACTGTGCCTGACACAGAGCGTGTCATCAACTACGCACCTAACTACTACAGACGACTCCAACCCTGTCCTAGCCAAGTACACTAAGAGGTGAGAACATTGACTCCACCCTGTCCTAGCCAAGTACACTAAGAGGTGAGAACATTGACTCCACCCTGTCCTAGCCAAGTACACTGAGAGGTGAGAACATTGACTCCACCCTGTCCTAGCCAAGTACACTGAGAGGTGAGAACATTGACTCCACCCTGTCCTAGCCAAGTACACTGAGAGGTGAGAACATTGACTCCACCCTGTCCTAGCCAAGTACACTGAGAGGTGAGAACATTGACTCCACCCTGTCCTAGCCAAGTACACTGAGAGGTGAGAACATTGAGAAAAGCACAGAATTATAATGTGATGATAAGCATCAGTTAAACAAACGTTCTAATCTAGTACATTGTAGATCAACTATAGTTGCTGGTGTAGTACTTCCTTGTTGTTGTTTCCAGAGACCTGCAGAACTACATGGTGTGGCGTTTTGTCATGAACATGGTGGTGGGTCTGAGCAGGCAGTACAGGGACACCAGGAAAGCCTTCCGGAAGGTACACACACTATCTACTCCTCCTTTCATTCTCCCTCCCTCCTCTCTACTCAACCCTTTCTTCCTACATCTCACTATCACTCTGGTGTGTGATGTCATCAGTGTGAGCCATGCTGCGTTGCCCCCCCCCCCTTGCAGGCGCTGTACGGTACCACGTCGGAGGCTGCGGTGTGGCGGCAGTGTGCCATTTATGTCAACAACAATATGGACAACGCTGTGGGAAGACTGTACGTAGAGGAGGCCTTCTCTGGGGAGAGCAAAGAACTGGTGAGGTTAACAAGGGGGTGGGGGGAGAGTGTGTGTGTGTGACACTGCGGAGTGTGTTTGTGTGTACCCCAGCCTTATGTGTTTACTTATGCTACAGCAGCAGTGGCGTAGTGTCTCCTAACTGCCTGGAGCCACTGGCCACTGTAACCCCTGGCCACTGTAACCCCTGGCGCCACTGGCCACTGTAACCCCTGGCGCCACTGGCCACTGTAACCCCTGGCGGCCACTGGAGCCACTGGCGCCACTGGCCACTGTAGCCCCTGGCGCCACTGGCCACTGTAACCCCTGGAGCCACTGGCCACTGTAACCCCTGGAGCCACTGGCCACTGTAACCCCTGGAGCCACTGGCCACTATAACCCCTGGAGCCACTGGCCACTGTAACCCCTTGAGCCACTGGCCACTGTAACCCCTGGCGCCACTGTCCACTGTAACCCCTGGAACCACTGTAACCCCTGGCGCCACTGGCCACTGTAACCCTGGCGCCACTGGCCACTGTAACCCCTGGCGCCACTGGCCACTGTAACCCCTGGCGCCACTGGCCACTAACCCCTGGAGCCACTGGCCACTAACCCCTGGCGCCACTGGCCACTGTGGCCACTGGAGCCACTGGCGCCACTGGCCACTGTAACCCCTGGAGCCACTGTAACCCCTGGCGCCACTGGCCACTAACCCCTGGAGCCACTGGCCACTGTAACCCCTGGCGCCACTGGCCACTGGAGCCACTGGCCACTGTAACCCCTGGCGCCACTGGCCACTGTAACCCCTGGAGCCACTGTAACCCCTGGAGCCACTAACCCCTGGAGCCACTGGCCACTGTAACCCCTGGAGCCACTGTAACCCCTGGAGCCACTGGCCACTGTAACCCCTGGAGCCACTGTAACCCCTGGAGCCACTGGCCACTGTAACCCCTGGAGCCACTGTAACCCCTGGAGCCACTGTAACCCCTGGAGCCACTGGCCACTGTAACCCCTGGCGCCACTGGCCACTGTAACCCCTGGCGCCACTGGCCACTGTAACCCCTGGAGCCACTGGCCACTGTAACCCCTGGCGCCACTGTAACCCCTGGAGCCACTGGCCACTGTAACCCCTGGCGCCACTGGCCACTGTAACCCCTGGCGCCACTGGCCACTGTAACCCCTGGCGCCACTGGCCACTGTAACCCCTGAAGCTCCTTTCACACCCTCATCTCCACCACATGTCGCAGGAGTGTGTGTGTGTGTGTTTAAATACGACTGTGTGTACAGGTGTCTGATTGCATGGCTACCCTTTGTTAAATGTGTGCCTCACTGCATATTTCCCCTCTTGTGAGTCTTAACTGTCCGAATGAACCGCAGCATGCAGAGGCAGCATGCACTGTGTGTGTGTGTGCGTAAGCCTGTTCAGATGACCTGTTGGCTGACACAATAGGGTCTCGTACCATTGAGCTTACGCTCACACAAATCATAATCCAAACACACATATTTGCTATCAAACGTTCAGTCAGGCCCCTCATACGTACCCAGCTATTTTAAACTCATGATGACAATCATAACATTTCAATGCTCACTCTAAAGCATTTATTTCCTTAACATTCTCCTGAGTGCCGCATTGGTCTAAGGCACTGCATCTCAGTGCTTGAGGCGTCACTACAGACCCCCTGGTTCGATTCCAGGCTGTATCACAACCAGCCGTGATTGTGAGTCCCATAGGGCGGCGCGCAATTGACCCAGCGTCGTCATTGTAAATAAGAATTTGTTCTTAACTGACTTGCCTAGTTAAATAAAGATAAAATATAAAAAATAAAAATTCTGAAAGGAGACGTCTATCACATTCTGTTTCAGAGGAACCTGGTCTGAGATCCACAATAGTGAAATTATCAGTATATGCTGATCTGTGTGTGTGTGTGTTAGATGGAAGAGATGATCTCTGTGATCCGGGAGGTGTTCATCAGTAACTTAGACCACCTAAGATGGATGGATGTAGAGACCAAGAAGGCTGCTGAGGAGAAGGTGAGACTCACCTGCCATTGATTTCTACCCGTTGACCTCCGGCTGAACGTTTTACCGGTCTCTGTTTTACCGGTCTCTGTTAAAACCATTACAAGTGTCGCTATCACCCTCAAACTGTCCAATCCTCAATAGGCACAAGCTATCCGAGAGCGGATTGGTTACTCCGACAACATCAAAAATGACACCTACCTGAACAACGAGTATAAAAATGTGAGTGTTGAAAGATCAATATTATGCATTTCATCAGTGGACGTGATACAGTGGATACAGGGTTCAAACTATTTTATCTGCCATTGACACCAATGCAATGTGTGTGTGTGGGGGTGCTAGTTGAGCTACAATGCAGAGGAGTACTTTGAGAACATCCTTCAGAACCTGGAGTATGTACAGAAGAAACGTCTGAGGAAGCTACGGGTCAAAGTCAACAAAGAAGAGTAAGATCCTCCCTTTCCAAAACCCATTGTCAGCGCTGGCTAAAATAGCAGCCACAGCACTAAGATTAGAGTAGTTATTAACTTCAGATGAATTATGAACTCTTTCATTAATTATTAATGTGAAACATTTTCCTGTCTCATCCTCAGATGGGTAACAGGAGCAGCCATTGTCAATGCCTTCTACTCTTCAAGCAAAAACCAAATAGGTAACAGACACACCTCCAATAACCTCTACTGTAACTCCAATAACCTCTACTGTTACCTCCCATCACTTCTACTGTTACCTCCCATCACCTCCCGTCACCTCCAGTCACCTCTACTATCACCACTACTGTCATCCCCCGTCACCTCTACCGTCACCTCCCATCACCTCTACCGTTACCTCCCATCACCTCTACTGTTACCTCCCATCACCTCTACCGTCACCTCCCATCACCTCTACTGTCACCCCCCATCACCTCTACTGTCACCTCCCATCACCTCTACTGTTACCTCCCATCACCTCTACCGTCACCTCCCATCACCTCTACTGTTACCTCCCATCACCTCTACTGTTACCCCCCATCACCTCTACTGTACCTCCATCACCTATGTCACCCCATCCTACTGTACTCCCATCACCTCTACTGTTACCTCCCATCACCTCTACTGTCACCTCCCATCACCTCTACTGTTACCTCCCATCACCTCTACTGTTACCTTCCATCACTCTACTGTCACCCCCATCACCTCTACTGTCACCTCCCATCACCTCTACTGTCACCTCCCATCACCTCTACTGTTACCTCCCATCACCTCTACTGTTACCTCCCGTCACCTCTACTGTCACCTCCCGTCACCTACTGTCACCTCTACTGTTACCTCCCATCACCTCTACTGTCACTCCCTCACTCTACCGTCACCTCCCATCACCTAGTTATCTCTACTGTCACCCCCAGTCTCACCTCTACTGTCACCGTCACCTACGTCACCTACTGTTCATCTCTACTGTCACCCGTCACCTCTACTGTTTACCTCCCATCACCTCTACTGTCACCCCTCATTCCGTCACTCACTCACCTTCATCACCTCTGTCATCTCCCGTCACTTCTACTGTCACCTCCCGATACCTCTACCGTCATCTCTACTGTCACTTCCCGTCATCTCTACCGTCACCTCCACGTCACCTCACACCTCTCTTCACTCCCGTCACCTCTATCTCCTTACTGTCATTGTCTACCCCGTCACCTCTACTGTCACCTCACTCTACGTCACCTTCCGTCACCTCTCTCACTCTGTCACCTCCGTCACCTCTACTGTCACCTCCGTCTCACCTCTCACTGTCACCTCGCGTCACTCTACTGTCACTCTACGTCACCTCTACTGTCACCTCGCGTCATCTCTACTGTCACCTCCCGTCATCTCTACTGTCACTTCCCTTCACCTCTACCATCACCTCTACTGTCACCTCGCGTCACCTCTACTGTCATGTCCCGTCACCTCTATTGTCTTCTCTCGTCACCTCTACTGTCACCTCGTCACTCTACTGTCACCTCCTCACTCTACTGTCACCTTGCATCACATACTCACTTGTCACCTCCGTCACCTCTACGTCTCCCGTCACCTCTACTGTCTTCCTCACCTCTACTGTCACTCTACTTTACCGCATCACTCTACTGTCACTTGTCTCCCGTCACCTCTACTGTCTTCTCCCGTCACCTCTACTGTCTTCTCCCGTCACCTCTACTGTCTTCTCCCGTCACCTCTACTGTCTTCTCCCGTCACCTCTACTGTCTTCTCCCGTCACCTCTACTGTCTTCTCCCGTCACCTCTACTGTCTTCTCCCGTCACCTCTACTGTCTTCTCCCGTCACCTCTACTGTCACCTCCCGTCACCTCTACTGTCTTCTCCCGTCACCTCTACTGTCTTCTCCCGTCACCTCTACTGTCACCTCGCGTCATCTCTACTGTCACTTCCCGTCACCTCTACTGTCACTACCCGTCACCTCTACTGTCACTTCCTGTCACCTCTACTGTCACCTCCCGTCACCTCTACTGTCACCTCCCGTCACCTCTACTGTCACCTCCCATCATCTCTACGTCACCTCCCGTCACCTCTACTGTCACCTCCCGTCATCTCTACTGTCACCTCCCGTTTCGTCTACTGTCACGTCACGTCTACTGTCACCTAACGTCACCTCCCGTCACCTCTACTGTCATCTCCCATCGTGTCCCGTCACCTCTACTGTCACCGCCCATCACCTCTACTGTCACTTCTGTCACCTCGCGTCACATCTGTCACCTTGCGTCACATCTGTCACCTTGCGTCACATCTGTCACTTCCCATCACCTCTACTGTCACTTCCCGTCACCTCTACTGTCACCTCCCATCACCTCTCCCGTCACGTCTACTGTCACCTCCTGTCACCTCGCGTCACCGCTACTGTCACAACCGTCACCTCCCGTCATCTCTACTGTCACCTCCCGTCACCTCTACTGTCACCTCCCGTCACCTCTGATATATGATGTGAGATCCTTTCTTTTTCTCTCGCCTCCTCCTCCTCCTATCCTCTCAGTGTTTCCAGCAGGCATCCTACAGCCTCCGTTCTTCGGTAAGGGCCAGACCAAGTCTCTGAACTTTGGCGGTATCGGCATGGTGATCGGACATGAGATCACTCACGGGTTTGATGACAACGGTAAGAGGCTGTGCACATAGAATTCGCTTTATTAGAATGGACAGTCCAATTCAAAGTGTTGTTTCATGACATGTGGACTAGCTGGTCAGCTGTCCTAAGCAGAAATGGTTTGTTTGGTTGCCAGGTCGTAACTATGATAAAGATGGTGACCTGAAGGACTGGTGGACGCCAAGCTCCACCCAGAACTTTGTGGAGCTGTCTAAGTGCATGGTGGACCAGTATGGAAACTTCTCCTGGGACCTGGCCAACGGACTGAATGTATGCTCTCCTCTCCTCTCCTCTCCTCCTTTGCATCTGTTTTCTCTCTTCTTCTTCTCTCCTCCTCCAGGAAACACACACTCGGTTCACATTTCTACCCCTCTTTTGTCTAATCACGTCTGCTCATTTCCTGTCCTCCCTTGACTTGTTGCCGTGAACAATAGTATTTTTCATCATCTGAGAAAATGTTGCCAGCAGTGTGAAATCTGATATGGAATGGTAAATAATGTATTGTGTCATTTTGGAGTAATTTGTATTGTAAAGAAGAATATAATATATTTAATGTGGATGCTACCGTGATTACTGATTAATCCTGAATGAATCGTGAATAATGATGAGTGAGAAAGTTAGACACACAAATATCATACCCCCCCAAAATGCTAAGCTCCCAAGTTATTGTAATAGTGAGAGGTTAGCATGTCCTGGGCGTCTAACTTTTTTCCCTCATCATTATTCACGATTCATTCAGGATTATCAGTAATCACGGTAGCATCCACATTAATATAGAAGTGTTTCGAAACACATTGTATTCTTATTTACAATAAAATATTACTCCAAAATGACACGGTACATTATTTACCATTCATTTCTACTGGGCACAAAATAATCTGAAACACAACCGAAACAAACAGAAAATGCATCCAACGAATGTGTAGCGTCACAAGCTTGATGTGGTCATTGCGTGCTATGAATATGTGACCAAACACTAAACTTTGGACTACTTTAATACACATATAAGGGAATTAGTCCCAATACTTTTGCTCCCCTAAAATGGAGGGACTATGTACAAAAAGTGTTGTAATTTCTAAACGGTTCACCCGATATCGATGGAAATGGCCTCAAATTAAAGCAGACAGTCTGCACGTCTACCTCATAGGCATTGTATCATTTCAAATCCAAAGTGCTGGAGTACAGAGCCAAAACAACAAAACAAATGTCACCGTCCCAATACTTTTGGAGCTCACTGTAGATCAATACAGCCTGTATTGATCTGTGTATTTCTTTTCTGTAAGCAGCTCAACGGGAATAACACTCTGGGAGAGAACATTGCAGACAACGGTGGGATCCGCCAGTCATACCAGGTAGGGATGCACACTGCGGAAAGACACAGACTTTACAGCAAAAAAACACGCACACACAATCTGAAGACGAGTCCTTTACCCCAGGCGAAAAATCGATTCCAGTAACCTGTTGTTAGACCATGTTTTTCTCAATTTTTCCCTCGCATGTACATTGTTTTAGCATTTGAGGATTAGCTATAAATCTGAGTGACCTGTTGTGAGATTAAATGAGATCGGCTGGACTTGTGGGTAATTGCCATGTCCTCCTGCCAGCTCTCTGATTGGACCATTAGACATGCTCCCGGAGCATGGTGTGAGTGTTGAGCGACGTGATTGGCCAACCGGGTGTCTCAGGTTAGTGTCCAGAGGGATGAAGGACACTTCAGTTTACTTTAATCATTTTCTAAGAAAGTGGGAGAGTCTGAGATGTATGTACTCATCTGATGTGGTTGGCGTTAAATAAAGTATCTATCTGTATTCCCAGTCATGTGAAATCCATAGATTAGGGCCAAATGAATTTCCCCATGAGGCCAATGGTGACTTCAAAACAGTTAGAGTTTAATGGCTGTAATAGGAGAACATTGAGGATGGATCAACATTGTAGTTACTCCACAATACTAACCTGAAAGAGTGAAACAGAAGGAAGCCTGTACAGAATAAAAATATTCCAAAACATGCATCCTGTTTGCAGCAAGGCACTAAAGTAATAACATGACTCCAGACTCCACACAGACACAGCGTGTACACATGCTGCAGGTAGAGCAGTACTGTTCTACCTTCAGACAAGCATGCTTCAAAACTTTGTTCATTTGCACAATGTCTCTCGTTCAAACTCACGGAAAATGACATTCGGTGTCTCCTAGCAATACATTAATAACTTTATGAGCTTGATTGCCTGTCTTTGCAATTTGTTTATTTTTGTTTGCGCTTGTTAGCATATTTAGCTATTACTTGTGCTAATTATGTTAGCATAATGATAGTAGACGCCCAATGGGCTGTTTTGCGTTTTAAGCCGGTAAAACCGTAAATCCCGGGATGAGAACAGGATGGTATGAGGATATGAATATCTGGATACCGCCCAACCCTACCTATAACACAAGGCCAAATATACACAAGTTCCTTACCAAGATGACACTGAATGTTCTTGAGTGGCATAGTTACAGTTTTGACTTAAATCGGTGTGAAAATCTATGGCAAGACTTGAAAATGGCTGTCTAGCAATGATCAACAACCAACTTGAGAGCTTGACGAATTTTTTTAATAATAATGTGCAAATATTGTACAATCCAGGTATGGAAAGCTTTTAGTGACTTACCCAGAAAGACTCACAGATGTAATCGCTGCCAAAGGTGATTCTAACATGTATTGACTCGGGGGTGAATACTTATTTCATCAAGATGTATTAGTGTTTTATTTTTCATACTTTTTTTGTTAGAATTTGTCTTCCACTTTGACATTACAGGGTATTTTGTGTAGATTGTTGACAAAAAATGACAATTTTTATCCACTTTGCAACACAACAAAATGTGGAAAAAGTTGAAGGGTGTGAAGGTTAACTCTTATGTAGTCAGATTAAAGTGGTGTTGTAATGATTTCAGGCCAGAGAGGATTAAAGTGGTGTTGTAATGATTTCAGGCCAGAGAGGATTAAAGTGGTGTTGTAATGATTTCAGGCCAGAGAGGATTAAAGTGGTGTTGTAATGATTTCAGGCCAGAGAGGATTAAAGTGGTGTCGTAATGATTTCAGGCCAGAGAGGATTGAAGTGGTGTTGTAATGATTTCAGGCCAGAGAGGATTAACGTGGTGTTGTAATGATTTCAGGCCAGAGAGGATTAAAGTGGTGTTTTAATGATTTCAGGCCTACCAGAACTATGTGGAGAAGAATGGGAATGAGCCTCTCCTGCCTGGAATAAACCTCAACCATCAACAACTCTTCTTTCTCAACTTCGCCCAGGTCAGACTGGATGGATGGATAAGTGGATGGATAAGTGGATGGATGGATAAGTGGATGGATGGATAAGTGGATGGATGGATAAGTGGATGGATGGATGGATAAGTGGATGGATGGATGGATAAGTGGATGGATGGATGGATAAGTGGATGGATGGATGGATGGATGGATGGATGGATGGATGGATGGATAAGTGGATGGATGGATGGATAAGTGGATGGATGGATGGATAAGTGGATGGATGGATGGTTAAGTGGATGGATGTCACACCCTATCTCACTCCCGTCTCTTCCTCCAGGTGTGGTGTGGAACACATCGACCAGAACAAGCTGTCAACTCCATCAAAGTAGATGTACACAGTCCAGGGAAGTTCAGGTACCGTCTCTCATGCCGTCTCTCATGCCGTCTCTCATGCCATCTCTCATACCATCTCTCATGCCATCCTCTCCTGTATCACTCAATGCCACTTCCTCTTCCACTCAATGCCACTTCCTCTTCCACTCACCCCATCTCTGTCCATCTCAACTCAATGCCACTTCCTCTTTTACTCACACCATCTCTGTCCATATGAACTATTTGTGGCCCTCAGTGTCTCTGGTTTAGACCTGGGACACCAAGTGTGGGGATTGCCAAGTAATTCTGGCCAGTGATGACCGTTTCCTGTTTCCTGTCCAGGGTCCTGGGGTCCCTCCAAAACTTCCCTGAGTTTGCCAAGGCCTTCAACTGTCCCAAGAACAGCTACATGTTGCCTGAGAAGACCTGCCAAGTCTGGTGATACTGTAGTCCTGACGCTCGCCTGCCCTGAGGTCACTTTTCCCCCCGACTGTTACAGCACTAGTCTGGGACAGGGGTATGGTCGATGTCCCCCAGTTCACTGCAGGGTAGGACCAGGACTGCTACACTGACCGTACAGAACAACCAGCTTCATTCAAGGGACTACAGAGTGCTCTTCACAGCCAGCTCCCAGACTCTTCACCCAATCAGCCAAGTCACTGCTTTCACTGGATACAGTCACGGCAATTCACAATCTTTTTTTTTTTGTGTTTGTTAAATGTACTTTTCAATTATACTTTTTTCCCTCTGCATTTCACTTATGATTCATTATTTTGTTTGTATACAAAATGTGAGACTAATTTGAGCATCTTGAATCACAGGAAAATATCCACTTATTCTAAACTGTCTCTGTAAGTCCAAAAATGCTATTTGTTTCACTCTATGAAGTGGGCCTCAATATTAACCAGAATGTATACTGTATATCAATACGTTCTAGATGAATATACATTGACAGTAATCAGTACAGTCACACTAGCGGGATTCTATTTTATTGTATATTTAAGAAAATCACATTTGATTTGACTGAAAAAATATATATATATATATCAATGAGTATAATAAGAATTGCATAAATGTTGTTCTGTATATGTTAAATGTTTCAAAATGGGTGCCAACTATTTATGTCTACAAGCATAAAACCAAAATGAAGTTGTTGCCTTGCAATCAGTTGGGTGACCTAGCTGGTCAGGAATTGACATACACCAAACATATTCATATTTTTATTTTACAGTAAGAATGTGACCTCTATTCAAACTGCTCTGTGTCCAACAGAGGAGGCTGGTGGGAGGAGCTATAGGAGGATGGACTCATTGTAATGGCTAGAATGGAATGGTATCAAACACATGGAAACAACGTGTTTGACTCCGTTCCATTGGTTCCATTCCAAGCATTACAATGAGCCCGTCCTCTTATAGCTCCTCCCACCAGCCTCCTCTGGGGTTCGGGGTGTGTGTGGGTATTTGTGATATGTGTGTGTTTTTGTCCGAATGTGACCACTACATTTTTCAACAAACTGAGGAAGCCTTACATGAACCATGGTGCTACTGCTGTTTTGTGTGTGTGTGTGGGGGGGGTGGGATGCAGAGGAAGTCTGGTTTGTAGCTGGACCCCCCCCCCCCCCCTTCTGATTCGCTCTCTCTCGCTCTCTCTCTTTTCACATAGACACGGCAAACAAATCAAACGTGTTCTCCTTGTTGATTTGATCATTAGCATGGTGTCTTTAAGGTACAGATTTACTAAGTGTTTAGTTTTTGGCTCTTTATTCCTTTCTGGGAAAAGCAGATTCAATCTTTGTGCCTGTTAAGGTGATAGGTAAATCCAGGTTGAAACACACTGTATCCTTAGATTTTATTTTGTAAGGGAAAATGAGGTTCAGTCCACAATGTGTCATGCGACTCAAACACACCGTTTCTCAAAATGTCACCCGTTTTATGTTGCCATGTCCACTCACGCAGCTTTCTCTGTGCATGGTCTCCTTCCTCCCTTACCCATATACACAACCATCTCACCTGTAGAAGGACAGACGGATATACCTCAGTTATTTACATACTTTGTAATAAAAAACAAATCACGATGACCATAATGAACGGACTTTTTTTATTTATTGTAATAATTAATCCTTTAAAGAGAAAGTGGTATGTTTATGACTTATTGTGTGTGTGTGTGGTACATGAGAGCTAGGTAGAGAGACATAGGGTGTGTTACTGTGCCTCCAGGGTCTATCTGAGATGGAAACCAGTGGATGGACATGGACATAACGTACAGCCAGTTAGCACTGCCAGGCAACACAGAGCCTTCCTTGGCTTTTCCCTCATCTCTGAGACGGCCCAGCTCCGTGAGATCCAACACTGCTCTTCCCTATAAGCTCGTTGTGCAATGGTGGCGCTGGCATAGGCTTACCTTGTGTTTGGTTGAGGAGGTCCTATGTGATTCAAAGCAGGGCTACACAGCTACTTCCTCCTGCCCTGGATGCTGGCTCTCATCCACCTCTTTTGATTGGTTTAGACCTGGCCAACCAGGTGTGTGTGTACAGAGCCCTTAGCCAATCAATGACCTTAATTCAGAAATGAAGTGTGCAGGAAGGGACAAACAAAAACCAGCAGGACTGACCATCCAGAACTGACTTAAGTCATTCCTCAACTGTTATACCATCCCGTCTTGTCAACAGTCACAATACGAGCGAAGTGTTGTACCGTTGACCTAAGTCATTGGTTTTGGCTTGATTGTGACATCGTTTGTTCATTTAAGTCCTAGGGACATGACTCCAGGACTGTGTCCATCTACAACAAGTTGTTCACCATTGACACTAGGTGAGTGTTTAGGGCGTTTTGGCTGTGTTGAGAGACGTGGGTCGTGTCCCCTGCTCAGACGTTGCATGCATCAACCAATGGTTTCGTGCCATGTCATCGACTGTGTCTTCTACTGACAGATTGCTGTAACATTATGGTGTGGTTAGCTGATACGTAAAACAGCTATCCAGGAATTGTAAGATCTGGCATGTGTCAGCAACGCCTGGGCAGAGGAACGCGCCCATAATTTCACAGTGTGAGCCCTCCCTCCCCTGAGCCTGGTTTGTGGAGCGAGTATCTGCGATATCTTAATGGCCGCCCCGGGGACATGTTAAATATACCCCAGACTGTCCTGCACCTGATTAGAAGCACATTTGTTGGCACTCAGGAGACAGCCTGCAGAGAGAGACACTGACACATGAGAGGGAGAGAGATACACTTACAGAGAAGAGAGCCTGACAGAGAGAGAGAGATACATGAAAAGAGGTAGATAAAGGGAGAAATGCAGAGAGAAAAATATATATACCGAAAGAAAAAGAGCCAGAAATAAAGAGCAAGAGATACAGAAAGAGACAGGGAGATAGCAGCCTTAGCAAGACATGTATTGGCACAGTTTTGACAGCCAGCAGAGAGAGAATGAAATATGAACCTCCAGCCCTCCCTTCATACCCAGGTCAGCAATCAGTGAACTTCAGCATATCTCTACGTGTCTCGACCTCTGACCCTCATCCTTCCGTCTCTCCCTCCCTCTCTCTCTCTCTCTTACAATATGTAGCTCTCTCTCTCTCTCTCTCTCTCTCTCTCTCTCTTATTATATGTAGCTCTCTCTCTCTCCTCTCTCTCTCTCTCTCTCTCTCTCTCTCTCTCTCTCTCTCTCACTGCTTGGTAGCTTGCTGTAGGTTAACACCACCCGCAACCCTATGGCAGCAGCAGCGTTTCCACACCATTCCCACTCACACCTTCAGTGCTATTAGTGGCTACGCTACCTAGCATCACAGCTAGCATTACAACACCTCAGCATGTTCCCGGCAAGCTGCCTGCCATTTGGCTTGCTGAGTCACTGTGACCAAGTCAGAGTAGTTTGGTTGGGGCTGGTAGACACAGTCCCAGTCCATTTTCATGTTTGCAACTCAGAGCGTTGAGAGTTTCAGTGGTAATGATCAACGGTAGTATTCAGTTGTAGCATTCAACAGTAATAATCAGTGGTAGTATTCAGTGGTAGTATTCAATGGTAGTATTCAGAGGTAGTATTGAGTGGTAATATTCAGTGGTAATATTTAATGTAGTATTCAGATGTAGTATTCAGAGGTAGTATTCAAGGGACTTTACACTGGACTAAACAGAGGAACTAAGAGAGAGTGAAAAAGGAAGCGTAGATGGTCAGATCTGGACAGATTGTCACAGTGTCTGTTTGACCTTTATTACACTGTGGTCAGCCCTGTGGTCAGCCCTGTGGCCAGCACTGTGGTCGGCCCTGTGGTCAGCACTGTGGTCAGCCCTGTGGGCAGCACTGTGGTCAGCCCTGTGGGCAGCACTGTGGTCAGCCCTGTGGTCAGCACTGTGGTCAGCACTGTGCTCAGTACTGTGGCCAGCACTGTGGTTGGCACTGTGGTCAGCACTGTGGTCAGCACTGTGGTCAGCAGAGTAGGTCAGCCCTGTGGGCAGCACTGTGGTCAGCCCTGTGGTCAGCCATGTAGTCAGCCCTGTGGTCAGCACTGTGGTCAGCCCAGTGGTCAGCCATTTAGTCAGCCATGTCGTCAACACTGTGGTCAGCCATTTAGTCAGCCATGTCGTCAGCACTGTGGTCAGCCATGTAGTCAGCCCTGTGGTCAGCCCTGTGGTCAGCCCTGTAGTCAGCCATGTAGTCAGCCCTGTGGTCAGCCATGTAGTCAGCCCTGTGGTCAGCCCTGTAGTCAGCCCTGTGGTCAGCCCTGTGGCCAGCCCTGTAGTCAGCCATGTAGTCAGCCCTGTGGTCAGCCCTGTGGTCAGCCATTTAGTCAGCCATGTAGTCAGCCCTGTGGTCAGCCATGTAGTCAGCCATATGGTCAGCCCTGTCGTCAGCAGTAACAGACAGATGATAATAAACCAGCTGGGATGATGGTTGAGAATTAAGTAAATCAACATAACATTCAGTCCAGTGTAATGTCCAGTTTAGGGGATGAGAGGAAGACAGGTGGTCAGCATCAGGTTGAACCATGACAGGTGGGAACTTTCCAGTAGTTTGGTTGGGGCTGGTAGACACAGTCCCAGTCCATTTTCATGTTTGCAACTCGTTGAGAGTTTCAGTGGTAATGATCAACGGTATTATTCAGTTGTAGCATTCAACAGTAATAATCAGTGGTAGTATTCAGTGGTAGTATTCAATGGTAGTATTCAGAGGTAGTATTGAGTGGTAATATTCAGTGGTAATATTTAATGTAGTAATCAGTGGTAGTATTCAGAGGTAGTATTCAATGCTAGTAATCAGTGGTAGTATTCAGTGGTAGTATTCAGATGTAGTATTCAGAGGTAGTATTCAAGGGACTTTACACTGGACTAAACAGAGGAACTAAGAGAGAGTGAAAAAGGAAGCGTAGATGGTCAGATCTGGACAGATTGTCACAGTGTCTGTTTGACCTTTATTACACTGTGGTCAGCCCTGTGGTCAGCCCTGTGGCCACCACTGTGGTCGGCCCTGTGGTCAGCACTGTGGTCAGCCCTGTGGTCAGCACTGTGGTCAGCACTGTGGTCAGCCCTGTGGTCAGCACTGTGGTCAGCCCTGTGGTCAGCACTGTGGTCAGCACTGTGCTCAGCACTGTGGCCGGCACTGTGGTTGGCACTGTGGTCAGCACTGTGGTCAGCACTGTGGTCAGCAGAATAGGTCAGCCCTGTGGGCAGCACTGTGGTCAGCCATATGGTCAGCCATGTAGTCAGCCCTGTGGTCAGCACTGTGGTCAGCCCAGTGGTCAGCCATTTAGTCAGCCATGTCGTCAGCACTGTGGTCAGCCATGTAGTCAACACTGTGGTCAGCCATGTAGTCAGCCCTGTGGTCAGCACTGTGGTCAGCCATTTAGTCAGCCATGTCGTCAGCACTGTGGTCAGCCATGTAGTCAGCCCTGTGGTCAGCACTGTGGTCAGCCCAGTGGTCAGCCATTTAGTCAGCCATGTAGTCAGCCCTGTGGTCAGCCATGTAGTCAGCCATGTGGTCAGCCCTGTAGTCAGCAGTAACAGACAGATGATAATAAACCAGCTGGGATGATGGTTGAGAATTAAGTAAATCAACATAACATTCAGTCCAGTGTAATGTCCAGTTTAGGGGATGAGAGGAAGACAGGTGGTCAACATCAGGTTGAACCATGACGGGTGGGAACTTTCCAGTCACCGATACAATGTCCATGTCTCCCCTGCCTCCTCCTTCCCCTAAATTCTTCCAAAGGGCAGAGGTGGGAGGTTAACTACCTCATGTTTTTATGCCCCTTTGCCCCTTGGCCACACCCTCCCTCC